AGGAATCAAGGATTAAAGAAATGGTTAAATCACAAAGTCAATCATACTTCGTTCCAAAACAAGTCTTAAAGTTAAGATTGTGATATTAAGTGAAAAATATTAAGAAGGTTTATAACACTCATCAAATGTAGAATATGAAAAAGTTTTCTTATTCTTGCACATTTGAAATTGGAAAGTTGTGATGTCTTGGAAAAGACAAAGACCAACTAGCACCAATTTTATGAAGTGTTTTGTCTTGATAAAAGCTACACTAACTCTTGAACATTTATTTGTCGAGAAATGTTTATTGACAAGAGAATCTTATATGTCAAGGAGTCAATGGGAGTCGTAATGATCTTGAAAGGTTTCAAAAACAAATCAAGAATAAACCTTATCGATCATCACTAGCACACGAATTGAGGTTTACAACCTATTGTGTTGACATTATCTTGTTTCTGTGACGTTCCAATCGAGTTAATTATGCATATGAGTTCTATGAGTTCTCATTTGAACTGCATAAAAGTCAAGGACCTTGATCAATGAAAAGTAAATTGATAGGAAAGGGTGAGCTGCTTAACTATTTGGAAGACATGGTGGGCAGCGTGTTACCATAAGGCAAGAAATCAAGATTGAGAAAGTTCGGTCCATATGAGTTTGAATTTGTCGTAAAATTTGTTTTAACAAATTCACATGGATAGGAACATATACACAAATAAAATCTAAGTGTCATAAGATTCCCTCCTTCATGAAAAATGACTGTGAGGAAATGCTTTCACTAAGAGATATTTTAAGAAGATAGTGATTGTGAAAATTGGATTCTCGAATTCGATTATGGTTACGGTATCCCTTTCCATGATTTGAATTGTGAGATTTGGCAATTAGTCTGAATTGTTTAGACACACATATGAGCTATCTAAAGGAAAGATGTATAAGCTTATATAAAGGATTATCAAAACATTAGGTATTAGAAACATGAACTTAAGAAATTCAATAAGTATTATTGAATGGAAGTTAAGTTGTTTTCTGAATACATGTCAAAGCTAGTAGAAGCATAAGTGTTATGTTTATAATAATCATCATGATAGTGGGAGCATAAAATGTTATGATTATATGATTATTAAGGCAAGTATTGCAAGTTAGCAATATTAATTATAGAAAACAAGAGTCATACTTTGCAAAGCTGTAAAGGTTGAATAGTTGTTTTGCTATAATTAAGGGAGAAAATATTATGCTTCATTTCAAATCTAAAGGCTTAGGTTGTGGAATGTTAATAAATTTAGTCAAGAGTACATAGTGCGTTATCAAATTTTCGATTATGATTGTGGCATCCCTCTTCATAGTTCGAATTGTGAGAACGTGACACATAAAATATTATAGCAAAAGATTGATAAAGTATCATATCTTTATGTAAGACATTATGCATCGTGTCCTATACGCTTTGGGTAAAGGATCGATTGCAAGTGCTATAATATTTGACCATTCAAAAATTTTCCAAATGTCTAGCACATTTAGAGGGAAAAGGACAAGAATCGGTTTTGACTAAGACAATTAAACAACTATCAAAGGACAATCCAAAGTTCGCAGAGGATTGGTCGCTTGTGAGTAGTTGGAAGTATAGTATTGGATGGACCATATCGACATTATTATGAATAGAAAATATTCTATTAAGAATGAGTTGTCATATGAAAAATATGGAAACGTTTCTATATTGGGAGTTAGACATTGAGAATCTATGTCTAGAATAGAAACTTTTATGCAAAAGGATGTTCAAAAGGAATGTACTTTGAGTGAGAGACATTACATATAAGGAATTGTATTGTAACAATCTCCGATAGAGAGATTTGTAATTCATTGGCAATAGTCATTGTGACTTTAGTGCAGTGATATTACGAAAGGATCATTGCATAGAATGTTAGAATTTAGCATATTCTATAAGTGGTAAGAATTTGATATTCTTCCACTTGTAGAAAGGATTGGGAGTTGTGAAATGAGTATGATTGGTAATGTGTTCATTTGATCTATTTCACAAATTAAGAACCATAGGTAAACATTGTGTGCATGCTAAGAGCATGGGACAAGTGTGGTAATAATTCAAGTACGAAGTTGATTACCCGAAACGAAAAATAATGAGTAATCGATATGGTGATAAATAAAAGGTGTTTTATTCATACTCAAAGGTTTGAGGCCATATGGGATTAGTATTATTCTTGTGTTTCACTTTGCATGTTTTAACTTCCTGAATAATTAAATTGGTTCAAAACAGTCAAATTATTCAAACGGATCACAGTCGTTCATATGTTGGAAGTAGGTATGAATGAAGACTATCATGAATTGGTGTGTGGATTGTCTAAAGAGCATTAGACATAAGCAAATGTTTGCTGCAACGTTCATGAGAGCTTATGAATCTAATTTGAGCATTGGATTAAACCCACGCTCACTTGGATCACTTCATGGATTTTATCACGAGTGATTGGTGAGACGATAATATCTTATATTCTTGAAACCGAGATGTGTGAGTTGTATCTTGCGAGTCGGTTGCACATTGATAATATGTAAACGCACCAGTAACTTGGTGTTATAAAACATATTGTTGTGTGTGATTTGGTGAGTGAGTGCAAGCGAGCATTGAGTCAAAGTTTATCCATTCCTTTTATCCAAAGTAGGATAAAATCGATATCTGTGGGCCCCTCGATGATTTAGTGATGGCACTAAGCGCTTGGCCAAGCCGGGACTAATTTGATGTGTTCAAATTGTAGTCTGTTGTCAGTCGTCATAAATCTGAATTCGGGAAACAACACATAGACAGAGAGAATGATTTAGATCCATGTCTCAGTCTATACGATAATATCTAGAATGGAGGAATATATAATCCCTTATCTTAAGGACACGCGTATCTGATAAGATCAAGGTTGTCAGCGGCTTTGGAAAGCTACGATTGCAGATCAGGATCTGAAGTCATACGCGAAATAGTTATTAGACTTATCCAAGTGGGAGATTGTTGGATTAGTGTCTAAGTCTATAACTATTTTGGTATGTACTTGACTCTATGGTGCATGGTCCTTTTGGGTTGCCTTCACTAAAGCAACTTGATAGGATGAATTATGGAGAAAAAGGATTAAATATGATTTATTAATATATTATGAGAATAATATATTAAAGGAGAAATCATATTGTTTAATTAATATTAGTCAAGAATTAATAAGAATTAAGTTTGTGGCTAAAAGATATTAATTAAACTTAAGGGACTTGAACTGTTAATTGTATAATAGTTGAATATTGAGGTAATGGACTCCATATTAAAGGGGGTGGACGAATTCTACGGGGAAACACATTAGAAATCGTCCAAAGGCCTTTAAGTAAGGGTTCATGGGTTGCTTAGGGCCTAAGCATCCAAATTAGGGTTTCCTTGTTAGATAACCCTAATAGCCTCACTATTTAAGGACCCCTTGGGCACCAAAAACGTGGGCAACTAAATCCTTAGGGTTTCTACACATTTTTTAGTGTATCCTTCTCTTCTCTTATTCATCCTCTTACTCTTGGTGTTTGTGAACCATTAAAGGAGTGACATTTGTGACTCTAAGCTTTCTAAAGTCAATACAAGAAGGATTTGAGATTGTTATTGCTACATAACAATCAAGGTATGATCTAAACCCTAATTTATATGTTATATTGATTATCATATGCTAAATCTAGGGTTTATAGTCTTGGATGAATTGCATGTACAATAGAGAAACCTAGATCCAAACATTAGGGTTTGTATGAGCACATAGGATGTTCTTATGTCCAAAACCCATCATAAAATACATGTATACATAAATTACAACAAACATCGATAATACAAAAAGATAGTTATTGACTTAGTAGCTAACATGCCCCACCATTCAAGGAGAAGTCACCGTTTTGATTATTGTCTTCGTATTTTTCCTTTTTTTTTTTTTTTAATTATTTGAAGTTATTACATTTTAAAATACATATTCAGGATTTTCGGCCAATGGCTAAAATGAATTTTTTTTCTAAAAAATAATAGCAAATGGGGAACAAAATTTTTTGGGGCTAAATGCAAACTCATACATAAATATTAGGGCTAAATACAAACTGTAAAAATACAAAACCGATACATGAAACAGTTTTAAAATATATAATGAAAAATAAAAGAACAAAAAGCTAAAACAAAATTGGTTTTAAACATAATAAAGCTTCCTTATTTTTTGATCGAGTAAATTACACAAATCGTCACTTGTCCAGATGCTAAAAAGCATATTCAGTCCCTATTTTAAAAAATTAATGCGGGCCATCACTCGTTAATTTTAAACTTGCACGCTTCATCCATCGGGGCATTAAAAGACCATTTTGCCCTTATTTATTTCCTTTTTGATTTATTTTCTAATCATTTGTTATTTATTATTTATTTATTTATTTATATTTGTTATAAAACAATTATTATTTCCTTTTAAAAAAAGAAATATCCCCTGAATACATTGATAACTCGTCCGGTTGTCCCCTCACCCCTTTTTTCTTCATCACATCATCTTCTATCCATAATAACCACCCCACCGACGACTTCTGTAACATCTCCGACCGACTCCAATATTCTGATCGCGAACTAACCCAACCAAAACAACCATTAATCGCCTCCTAGGAAACCCTATACTCTAATTTTCTCGTTTCATAAACCTAGCAGCCATTACCCACCGACCAGTCGAGGAGTTACAGATCCAGAAGGCTACGAGGTATCGTACATGGGTAGGGGACAAAATCGATGTTCAGATGGTTCAATTTCACCACATTCACCTCTGCTAAACACCACTTCTCACCCCTCTTCATTTTTAATACTTTGAATCTAAAGCTCTGGTGCTGATTTGCTTTTCCAATCTCGTCTTTTTGAAGCTTAAGTTTTGGGGTTCGTTTTTGAAAGTGAAAATAAGTTCTTGCTTAAGGTAATGGTGATTCTTTAAGGAGATATGGAGTAGAGAAGAGTGGTAGTGATGATGGCCTAGAGGCTACCGACGAGCATCTGCTTGATGGTGAAGGAGGTGGTGGTGACGGTGCTAGGGTTTCATGAAGGTGAAGGCTTGAAGAGATAGTACTTAGATAAGAGAAAAAAGATGAGAGACATGGAAAAAAAAGGGGTTATAGTCCATTGATGGTGGTAGGCGGTGATCCGACGTTGGAGGTGGTCGCCGTGGTAGTGGTCCGGTAAGTGGTGGTGAGGATGTTTCATGATGAGAGGAAGAGGAAAATGTTGATAAAATATATGAGCTATAATTTCTATTTTTAGATATAAAATGAATTATAAATAAATTAAAATAGAATAGTAAGGGTAGTATAGTTATTTTAACTATGGAAATGGATGAAGTGTGTAAATTTAATCCAATTAGGGATTAAGCGTGCAAGTTTAAAACATCCAATAGACGTTACGAGTTAATTTTTAAAAATAAGGATCAAATGTGCATTTTGCTACATACACAAAGGATGATTTGTGTAATTTACTTTTTTTGATCGTATCAACCTCGAGAATCCAACCAACAACAACACGTGGGTATATGCCACAAGCAAGAACAGAGCATGTTCTTCTGGCCCTAACACATTGGGTTTTACGCAGCTCTTGTTTCCAATTTCCACCCCTACCAGACTCCGCCCTCCACCGCCGTCCTACCAAGTCCAACGGCACGCCACTGAATCTCAGCCTTTTGAACTCCAGCAACAATTTCACCGCCATCCTTCTCCATCGGTACTTCCGTATCCCCCGCTTTTTTATTCTCCGCGAATTATACATCTCCTACAATGCTTCGCGTTCGTACTTCTCTTTTGATGCAACTAGCTGGTGTTATCTTGAATTACTGTTGATTATCCCTTGTTATTTTCAAGGTTCCACTTACTAAATTTTGTGTCACGATGTTATACCGCTTCAGTCCCAAAATAGCAAGGTTTTGAGTATCAAATGGAGTTAGATTTAACTTCAAAATTGACGAGATAAATTCTATTTACGTACAAGAATTTGTTAATTACACTCAACAACGTGTTGGAGATAAGACAATTTTCGTCAAATACAGTTTACGCAGTACTCTTCTAACCTTTCTACAGCTGGTTATAACAGCAGTTTACTAAAAAGAGCTATTCCTGCAAGTTAACGTAGCACAATACTACATTTCAGAGACCAGTTAGGGTTATTGTAGGATCAATAAGCATAAGTATCTAACTTGCGTTCAATTTCAGGATACAAGATACACTTCAATTTGTGTGATCAAAAGGACTAATTTTCAACATCTAGATTTCTACAAGTTCTTTCATGTTGGGAGAGAAGTTTGTAATATATATAGTACAAACAGAGTTACACTATGAGCTATTATCATCTATTTTGAACATCTGTTCTTGGTAATTGCAGTAGATTGGTATGGCAGAAGTTGACAAGAGTACTTCTGGTAATGGGATACAAGAAAATCCACAGCTTGAAGAAACACAAGAACATGTAGATGCTCAAGTCACTAAAGGTGGTGAAAATAGATGGCCTGGATGGCCTGGAGAGAGTGTTTTTAGGATATTGGTTCCTGCACAAAAAGTGGGAAGTATTATTGGACGAAAAGGCGAATTCATCAAGAAAATGTGTGAGGAGACAGGGGCCCGCATCAAGATTCTTGATGCTCCACCAGGAACAACAACAGAAAGAGCTGTAAGTTTCTTTTCCATAAGACCATAACTATTTCTTGTAGAAATGTTAGGTGTTCGATCATGTTGATGATGTGTATGTAATCGATTGATTGATTGTGTTATATAAAAGGTGATGATATCTGGAAAGGAAGAACCTGATGCTTCTCTTCCCCCTGCTGTAGATGGTCTTCTTAGGGTTCATAAACGCACAGTGGATGGTTTAGATGGTGAATCTTTTCCTGTTCCTGTTCCACCAGGGTTCATAAAGGTCTCCACAAGGCTGCTTGTGCCAGCTGTACAAGCAGGAAGTTTGATTGGGAAACAAGGAGCAACAGTAAAATCTATCCAAGAAGCATCCAGTTGTATTGTTAGAGTTCTTGGTACTGTTTCTCAACTTTTTTCATTTTTTGTTTTGAAGTTTTACATTTTTGTTAAATGCGTATTTTGATGTTATGTCAACTTTGGAAACTGTTATTGCAGAAGATTTACCAAGTTTTGCTCTTCAAGATGATAGAATTGTTGAAGTAGTTGGGAAACCTGGTGGGATACACAAGGCAGTTGAATTAATCGCTTCTCATTTGAGAAAATTCTTGGTTGACCGAAGTGTTATTTCGTTATTTGAAGTGCAAGTAAGTCTTTTATACTTATCTTGATTGCAGAAAACTAAGTTCCCTAAGGCCCTATTTGTTACATATAACAGAACAGGTTATACTGTGTTTGACATGCAATGTACCAGGACTGTGACAGATGTCAACGGGACAAAAATTGCAACTTTTTGTCCCACCCAAAAAGGTGTGACAAGGTGGGACAGGGACTCGCTCTCGATCTCTTGTCTGTGTAAAAGACGTAAATACCCTTCTCATTCTCATCATGAAAAATATCCTACAAAGCTTGTCCTGTATAGTGTCAGAAACGCAGCCGTAGGCTGCGTTTGTTACTCAGTCTGGACTGGACAAGCTTTCTAAGGCTATTTTCCATGATGAGGATGAGAAGGGCATTTACGTCTTTTGCACAGACAAGAGATGGAGAGCGAGTCCCGGTCCCACTTTGTTGCACCTTTTTGGGTGGGACAAAAATTGACATCTGTCATAGTCCTGATACACTGCATGTCAAACGCAGTATAACCTGTTCTGTTCACACAGCTAACAAGCCTAAGGTGGAATTAAGGACTAATTTAGGAGTAGATTAAATTTTCCGTTAAAAAAACAAACAGGCCTAAGTTTTATTGGATAATTATAGTTACACTAATTCATCAGATGCAAGCACCAAAGCCTCAAATGGAACAACAAATACCCCCTCCTGAATCCTGGGGTCCACCACCACATTTTATGGCACCTCCAAGGCAAATTGATACTTACTATCCACCACCAGAGATTCAGCCTCACCAAGGAATATCAGCCTACGGAAGAGAAGCTCATGTAGCCATGCAAGCAACAACAACAGCTCCCTCCGTTATCACACAGGTTAGTTTACGATTGGATAAAATAGCAATGTGGTTTTTGAAAGCGGTTGACCAGGTCAAACGTGGTGACATGGCAATGACAGGTGACACAGCAAATGCAGATTCCGTTATCATATGCGGATGCTGTGATTGGTACAGCTGGATCAAATATAAGTTATATACGTCGTGCCAGCAGTGCAACTATCAGTGTACAGGAAACAAAGGGAGTTCCTGGGGAGATGACTGTGGAGTTTAATGGAACTGCTTCACAAGTCCAAACAGCTCAGCAATTAATTCAGGTTATAAATTTGTACTTTCTTGATGATTTCGGTGAAATATGAAAAAGCACAACTTATTAAAATTCTTATATTCCAGAATTTTATGGCTGATGCCGCCGCCTCCACCGCCGCCGCACCACCACCACAACCACCGCCACAAATCCAAACAAGCACATCGGAACAAGGATATAATCCTTATGCCGCCCATGCTACAATGTATGCATCACCACCAACCACCAGTTATGGAGGACAAACAGGAGGCTATGGTTCAATCTATGGTGCTAATTATGGTTATTAAGGTTAGTGGTTTAAATTTTTTTAATCTTTTAGATTTTGTATACGTTTATATATAAAATAAGTGTTAACTTTATCTATGATTAAAAAATAATTAACAATGTCACATTGACATGTTTGGTTGTAGTATTTCATTTTTTATAAATTATAAAAGATGATATATTGAATTTGTCTATGGTGTTGTTTCTCTTAGAGTTAATGTACTTAATGTATATAAGATATTTAATGAGTTAAGCTATATATAGTTGTTTCTTTTTTATTTAATATTAATAAAATGTTTTGGTTGGTTAAGTTAGGAAAGGGGTGTCCTTAGTATTAAATGGTGATTCCATATTTTTAGCTAATCTACTTTAATGAATATTTGGATTCAATTCTATTATTCGAACTTATTTTAAAACTATGTTTAATTTAAGTTGGTAAGCATGTTAATGTTATCTTTTTAAAAATCTAAAAATTTTAAGGGTTTTTTTTTTTTTTTTTTTTTTTTTAATGTGATAATGTACAATTTTAATGTATAAAGGTTATTAAATAAAGAGTAAATTACACGAATGGTCCCTATGGTTTAGGGTAATTTGCGTGTTTAGTCCCTACCTTATTTTTTTAACTCGGAAGGTCCCTACTATTTGTTTTTGTTACACGTTTGGTCCCTGTCTTATCTAAAAGGATTATTTTCCATTGTTTTTTTAATTTATTTAAATAAACACTCACCTAACCCCACCCCTCTAGCATTACCTTGTCTATCCCATCATTTTTCTCTATTTAAATAATAGTTTTTTAAGGTAAGACAGAGACTAACAGCATAACAAAAACAAATAGTAGGGACTAAGCGCGTAACAAAAACAAACAGTAGGGATCTTCCGAGTTAAAAAACAAGTTAAGGACCAAGCACGCAAATTGCCCCAAACCATAGGGACCGTTCGTGTAATTTACTCTTAAATAAATGGTAATTTCTTATTTGTCAATTTTCAACGGGAGAGCAATTGAGTCATTTATTTAGATTCAGTGTATTTGTATTTGGTCCAAAAAAAAACATTTATATCTGTTAGAAAATCGGGATATAGATAAACTTGGATTAGAGAGAGTTGTGAAACACTTTCAGATTAAAGCATTTCGAGGGTACACTCAAAATCTCTAATCGGATGAAACTCACTATTTTTCTAGAATATAGAATGAAGAAGATGTTATGAATCTGTACCCAATAATAGAATCCGAAATTGATCATATATAGCAGAAAACTAACTTTCTATCTTAAACTGCCATATGGTAGTTATATCTAAATAATTTCCTGTCCAAAAACGATCATATTACCTGTCATAAACTACCATAAAACCGGGGGCTCTGCCCCTTGGGCCCCGCCAGGGGCTGCCGCCCCTTGGACCCCGCTCCCAGGGACGCTGCCCCCAGACCCCCGTCAGTTCAGAGGCTTCGCCTCAAAATAGCAGTATACTTTCAACAATGACAAAATCAAACAAATGTGCACTCCGCACCATACTAATTTATTCGATAATTGTCAAAGTGACATTGATCAACAAATTAACCCCATTACACTTAAATAGTATTAGTGATATAAAATCACCAACAATATTAACACCATTTTATCCATACATATGTCATCATATGTGTTTAAATATTTTTCTCTCTAGACCAAATAAACCATATGAATAAAACTAAATGACCATTCCTTACATTCCTACAAACAATTTCTATAATGTTAACCAATTTTAACATGTGAGGAGTTGATAGGAAAAAGGAAGAGCAAATAGGTAAATGGTTAGTGTCTTAATACATTAATCAATATTTTTTTGGCTTAACCCATTAAGTCATTTTATCTGGACTAAGTAAAAATAAAAAGCCATGTATTGTTGTCTCGATTAAGTTCTTAACGCATTAAACTTAATAATTCCAAAAGAAAAAAAAATCCTTTTTGAGTGTTTTTTATGGTCAAGTGTAAAGTGTTTTTTATGGTCAAGTGTAAGCAAAAGTGATATGCTTTGGCTATGATTGGATAGAATTTGCCTAGTAAAAATCTACACAATTATAACAATTCAGTTGCAAATTTGAATAGCTATGATTGGATAGAATTTGCCTAGTATAATGTTATAAAAAGAAAAAGACAAAACTACATAATTGGTCCCTGTGGTTTGCAAAAAACTTTGGATGGGATCCAAAAACTTTCCAACGTGCATAGAAAATCCAAAATCAAAACTTTTCTTTGGTTTTGGTCCTAAAAAGGATAAAATGACTATTCTACCATTTTTATTCCTTTTTCACATTTTTTATTTACTTATATATATTTTAATAATTAAAAAAAAAAAAAGAAAAAGAAAACACCCTAACCCACACCCATCGATGGTTGATGAAGTTGAGGAGGTTAATGGGGGTGGTGAAATTGGAAACCAGCTTGTTGGTAATTTACGCAGTTATAAAGGGAGCAACGATCCGATAGGTACTTTCAATACTCCTAGTGTACCTCAGTTTCACAGTGTTGCTGAAAATGTTAATGTTAGTTATTCACCTATTCACTATGTGGATCCTGAGAATTACAAGCATGTTGGTGATGATGATGTTGGTACTTATCTTGATGATGTGGGTGGTCGTTGTGATGATGTTGCCGAACAAGAAGTTAAAGTTATAAGTAGGCGTGCGGTAGATAAAACTAAAAAAAAAAAAATTCAAGTCAAAAAAATGAAAAAAAATCATGTTTACGGGCATTATGTTGATGTTGGTGATGTATGTTTAGATATAACCGAGCTACAAAGCAATTCCGATAGAGATGAGTTGGGTGATGAAGTTAAAGCTAAGTTTCCCGATAACCTTTTTCACGGTATGCCCCCTGTACCAGCATGGCCAGTTGATATTAATGAAGATATCCCAACACAGATGGTAGACATGAATCTTCAAAAGATTCAATGTGAGAGTATATTTAAGAACAAAGAACTTTTAAAGCGTGTATTGGTAAAAAATGTCTTCGAGAAGGTTTCCAGACGAGGACAAGTAGATCCACCAAATCAAGGTATGAAGTTGTGTGTTTCGAAAAATTGTTCTTGGTTACTAAGAGCAAAAGCAATTAAAAATTCTGATGGACTTTTCCAAGTGAATAAATTTGTTGATGTACACACATGTTCTTCAACATTGTTGCAACCTAATCATCGACAAGCAAACAAATATGTTTGGGTGAATATGTTGCTGATGTTTTGGCTGAAGACTATAGTAGAGTTTATCGGGGAAAAGAAATTGTTAATGATATGAATGCTCAATTGAATATCAATATCTCATACCATCAGGCATGGCGTGCGAAGCAATATGCATTGTTGTCGTTAAGGGGTACGAAAGAGGATTCTTTTACCAAACTTCCGGCGTATTGTCACAACTTGGCCAAACATAATCCGGGTACTGTCACACATATTAAAAAGATGCTGATGATCGCTTTGAGTTTTTGTACGTCGCACTCGGTTGCTCGGTTAGTATTATCATATTATATTAATTTTTTAATATTTATTTTGGTGTATTTGAATAGATATACAATGTATTGTAGGTACGCGCTTTTGTCAATTTTTGTAAGCCGACCCTAGTAGTAGATGGAGCTCACCTAAAGGGCGAGTTCAAAGGTACCATGTTACTTGCAGTTACTAAGGACGGACAAAACCAAATATTACCGGTTGCATATGGTATATGCAAAAATGAGTGTACCGATTCTTGGACATGGTTTTTTCAAAAACTACGTGATTGCATAGGAAATATGCAGGAGCTTACAATTATATCTGATAGGTCTCCATCTATAGCAACATCCGTTGCCAACATTTTTCCTCACGCTCATCATGGAATATGTGGTGTCCATTTGTATTTCAACATAGTATCTAGATTCGGCAAGAGTAAGACGGTTAAAGGAATTTTTTGGGAGGCGTGTAGGGCGTACACAGTTGATGCTTTTGATGCTGCCATGGATGTTATGAAAAAGACAAAAGAACCAGTATGGGAGTACTTAAAAGTAAAATCCAGAAACTTGGTCAAGCACATTTTAAAGGGAACCGATACAATCTTATGTCGTCCAACGTGCGGAGTCTATAAATGCATTATCTAGACACGCACGTAAGTGCCAATACTTATGTTGATCGATTTTTTCGTGCTACAATGCAACAATGGTGGTTTCAAAGACGTAACTTTGCAGGTATTAAGTAAATTTTTAATATTAATGTTTTATTAATTTTGATGTTATTGATCTTAACTTCTTCATTTTGGCTGTTTTTTTAGCGGAAGCAACAAAACACTTACCCCTTGGGCGGATGAAATTGTAAAAGAAAACAAGAAAACTTTTACCAAATGGGATGTTCGCATGATCTCAAATACGAAATGCGAGGTCAAAAAGGGGGCACAAAATGTGATTGTTGATTTCAAACATATGACATGTACATTGGCATTGGCATTTGATGGGATCCTTGTGGTCATGTCATAAGATGTTTAACAGTGAACAATTACCAAGACTGCTCGAGGTATGCATTAAATGCTTACTTTACCGAAACACTGAGGAAAACATATGAGGAATCAATAAACCCTCTGCCAAAGCCATCCGAATGGGAGATCCCCGATGATTTGATGATTGTTAAGCCACCAATAATGGATAAACGTCAGCCAGACAGGCCAAGAAGCACAGACCGCATTCCATCCCAAGGCGAGGGTCCAATTATAAAAGAGTGTTCTACATGTGGTCAAATAAGACACACGAGAAATAATTGTACTGGAAGGGCGTCCGGTAGCGGAGCACGTCACATAATTTCTACTGCAGAAATGGCATTTAATATTGGTGGTTCAACGAGTTGCTCACAAACCTTTAACGCTGATTTTGATATAAAACAACCTTGAAATGAAGACTAATGACGAGTTGTTAACTTATTATGTATTGTAATATTTTTATTAAATCTTACAAGACATTGCTATGCTTTCATATTTTTGTTTAGTTTGTTGATTATAACAATTAATGAAGCTTTTATTTTATAAAATATAGTTTGCAGAATTTTTTTAACAATTACAACTTGTTATTTAAAAAAAAACAACAAACGATCCTTTTGCAACCTAATCTGTATCATGATAATATAACAACAACAATTTTGTAACTAATTTTTAATAAACTTGATCTATAAGCGGTATTTATACATACTAGACAGTAATGACAAGTCCAACTTTGAAATGACTAGACAGTAATGCCAAGTTACTGTAGTAACCTGCAAATCGTAGTGGAACCCTTAAGTGACATGACATAAATGATAGTTTGACATGATAAATCACTGCATAAAGCTGAAAATCGTAGTCCAAATGTAACCATTTCAT